CAGGAAGGAAACACAAAATCCCAGTCACCCTGGGACGTGACGCTCAGAGGGAGGCCACCAGGACACCCAGCCACCGCAGCACCTCCACAGGCGGGAACCCGAACTGAGTGTCGGACACTGAGCAAGTCTCCTCAAGGTTCAAACAAGCGAAATCTTATGGGCAGAGTGAATTCTGTCAGTACTGTCAAATAAAACTAGAAATCGGCAACGCAAAGATAAATAGAAAATCTCAAATACTTAGAAATGAAGCTTCAGGGGCAGGCATTATGGCACAGTGCGGGAAGCCAGCACCTGCAATGCTGGTATCCCCTATCAGAGCACTGGCTCAGGTCCTGGCTGCTCAGCTTCCTGCTAAGGAGCCTGGGAAGGCAGCAGATGGCCCGAGCACTTGGGTCCCTACCAGTCACATGGGAGATCCAGAGTTCCTGGGTCCCGGCTTTGGCCTGACCAAAACCTGGCTGTCGCAGCCATTTGGTGAGTTAACCACCAGATAGGAGATCTTTGTCTCTCCTTCTGTCACGCTGTCTTTCAAATAAATCAATTTTTAGAAGAAATTAAGCTGTAGGTTTTCAAGACTCAAATGACCAAAAGAGAAATAGTGCAATCAAGCTCTATATTGAAAAACATACAGCTGGATTATAATGAAGACAGAGCATAGCAAACTTGTGAGAGGCAGTCAGGGTAAAGCCCAGAGGGTCACGTACAGCCATGAGCACAAATGAGAGGACTTCAAAAACAGCATAGAAAATAGAATTAAGAGATATGCTTACTTTGGGGAAAAACCATTTGAAATCAACACATAGTTTGTTCATGATTTACATTTTCCATGAAATTTTTGAAGACTCCTCATGTGTATCAGAAATGAAGATAAAATGGAAATCAGTGACTTAAGTATTTGTCTCAAGAAATTACCGCAGGGCTGGCGCTGTGGCGTAGCAGGTAAAGCCGCCACCTGCAGCACCAGCATCCCATATGGGCACCAGTTTGAGTCCTGGCTGCTCCTCTTCCAATCCAGCTCTCTGCTGTGGCCTGGGAAAGCAGTGGAGGATGGCCCAAGTCCTTGGGCCCCTCCTCCACCCACGTGGGAGACCTGGAAGAAGCTCCTGGCTCCCAACTTCAGATCTGCCCAGCTCTGGCCATCGAGGCCATTTGGGGAGTGAACCAGGGGATAGAAGACCACCCTCTCTGCCTCTATAATGGCGTCTTTCAAATAAATAAATCTTAAAAAAAAAAAAAAGTAAAACAGAAACAGGTACAGCCTGTTCAGCTGTCTATTCAAAAAAGAAATTACTCCAAAAATACAGCAGCAAACCAAAGATAATAAAAGGATGGAAATTTAAAAAAAAAAAAAAAAAAGCAGAAATCAATGAACTAAACAAAGAGTAGAGAGAACAAGCCAGCCTGAACAGAAGACGGATAGGCCTCCGGCAAGATTAATCCTTTGAAAAGGAGACAGAAACCATCGGAAAGGAAGCAGGGTACCCCCGCCTCTTCTTCAGACACAGGAGTGAGTCTGCTGAGTAGCAGTCCTCGGGAGGTTCCCGGTGCCCTTGTTTTCAGGGTACTTGTGGCTATGAATCTGCAATGGACGTAATGAAAGGAAACGGAGGAGGACACAGCACCCAGGAATCGAGGTGCCTGTGGGGGTGGGAGCGGCCAACCAGCCTTGGGGAGAAGCCCGGGAGGGGCTGCAGGCATAGACAGAGGGTCTCCCCCAGCAGGCGGGGGCGGGGCACGCAGCGAGTGTTCCACGTAAAGGCAGAGAACGTGAAGTTCTAGGAAAGGAGAAATGTCGCGAAAAGGGAGACTTCCTGCGGCGCACAGCCTGGTTCTGCCTTGAACGGCAGTCATCCGGGTGCAGCGTCTCAGGACGGCCGGAGAGCCAGAGCCGGGCCGGGCCGGGAAACTGGGCAGGAGTCAACCTGCATCTTTCATAGCAGGAAATCAATCCACAATTCCTGCAAGGAATGAATCAAGAAGCACTGCTATAGACATATCACTTAAGGAAATGATGACCAATGGAGAAGAAATGGCTAGGCAAGTTTGAAGTGATTCCTACCGGGGAGTGAAAAGGAAGGGGGGCTGGGCTCGGGGACCGGTCTGAAGAGAGTCGGCGTTCACAGATGCAAAGAACCTTTGCTGTGAGACCATTTATTTCTACAAGCAGCACACAGGATGGCGTGGACGCAGGAATTTCGTACAAATGCACAAGCTGCGAGGACACGTGACGCACACCAGCTGACAAGGCACCCAAGGCCCCACAGCAGTGACCGCCGGGGACAACACACAGGCGTTGGCCTTTGCAGGCTGACTTGTGTCTCCCACTGTTTCTGGAGCAGACATACGTTTTTGCTGTAAGTAAAAAGCTGTGTTTATTAATGGAGAACAGTGACCGGAGGGCTGGCAACCATTCCCAGGAATTGCATCAGGATAACGGCCGCCAGGCTCTTCGCCTCAGTCCACGATACCCGCTGTGCAGTGAACAACGTCTGCAGGGGGTGGACACAACTCACAGGAAGCACCCAGTGGGGCGACTTCATTCCCTAGCTAAGGAGACTGGAGCTCGGTGCCATCAGGCCCACACCCAGCCCCAGCAATCCAAGATGCAGCCTCTGTTACTGTGAGTTTGCCAGTACCATTTCATTTAAAAAAAAAAAAAAAAAAGATGGTAACATTCACTTTTTTTTTTTTTTAATGCTTACTTATTTGAGTCAGAGTTACACAGAGAGAGGAGAGGCAGAGAGAGAGGTCTTCCATCCACTGCTTCACTCCCCAGATGACCGCAACAGCCAGAGCTGAGCCTCCTCCGGGCTTCCCACGCGGGTGCAAGGGCCCAAGGACTTGGGCCACCTTCCACTGCTCTCCCAGGCCATAGGGAGCTGGATCAAAGTGGAGCAGCCGGGTCTCGAACCGGCATCCATATGGGATGTGGGCACTACAAGCAGCAGCCCCACCTGTTATGCCACAGCACCAGCCCCAACATTTACTTTATTTTTTTAAAGAGTTTGTTTATTTATTTGACAGGTAGAGTTAGACAGTGAGACAGACAGAGAGAAAAGTCTTCCTTCCATTGGTTCACTCTCCAAATGCCTGCAATGGCCAGATCTGCACTGATCCAAAGCCAGGAGCTTCTTTCTGGTCTCCCATGTGGGTGCAGGGGTCCAAACACTTGGGCCATCTTCTACTGCTTTCCCAGGCCACAGCAGAGAGCTGGACTGGAAGAGGAGCAGCTGAGACTAGAACCGGCGCCCATATGGGATGCCAGCAACGCAGGCGGAGGATTAACCTAGCGCGCCACAGCACAGGATAGGTTTTTGGCAGAGGCTAACACACTGCTTAGGATGCCTGCATCCCACACCAGAGGGCCTGGTTTAAGTCCCAGTCTACTGCTGACCCAGCTTCCAGCTGACGCGTGTCCTCGGAGGCAGGCAACAGCTCAAGTGCTTGGGTCCCTGCCGCCCACGTGGGAGGCCTCGACGGAGTTCCTGGCTCCCAGCTTCAACCATCCCGACTGTTACATGGATTTGGGGAGTAAACTAGTGGATGGGAGCTCTTCCTTTCTCCCTTTCAAATAAAATATATAAACTTTAGAGAACAAACAGAATTCGGGTTGAATACTCCTAATATGAACATCTGAAATCCAGAATGCTCCAGAACCCAGAACTCTCGGAGCGCCAACGTTACGCCTCACCTGGAAATTCCAGAGTGAAACTGCTTCTTGCACAGAATTATTGAAATTTCTGTATAAAATTACCTTCAGGGGGCTTGTTGTGGTGCAACACTGGCATCCCATAATGAACCATTGGTTCCAGTCCTGGCTGCTGTGCTTCTGATCCAGCTCCCTGCTAGTGCACCTGGGAAAGCAGCAGGAGATGGCCCAAGTGCTTGGGCCCTGCACCCAGACCAAGGAGGAGTTCCTGGTTGCTGACTTTGGCCCTGCCCACCCAGCTGGTACAACTATTTGGGGAGTGAACTAGTGGACGTCAGAAGCTCTCTCTAACACTGCCTTTCAAACAAACGTCAAATCGCCTTCAGGCTATGTGTGTGAGGTATACATGAAGCACAAGCGAATGTCATGCTAAGACTTTGGTCCCACCGTCAAGATACCTACTTACACAAATATTACAAAATTGTTAACCACATGTATGAAATCTGAAAAAATTTCTGGATCCAAACATTTTGGAAAAGGGAGACTCAGCTGTTTTATTAACATCTCTAAAGTAGTAAATTCACCATTTTTCTTCTAACAAAAGGAAAGTATTGCACTTAGCGTGACGCCTGGCATCCCTCTAACCCTCACACGTCAGGCAGTGCTTAGCCCATTTTCCATGCGTGAGCAGAGGGCCTGGGCCAGGGACCTGAAGCAGCCTGACCCCGCGCCTGCATCTCCACGCCCCTGCCGCTGGGTTAGGCTCCCGAGAGCACCTCTGGCATGACCCTGGCCCAGCCCTCACGTTGCCGTCCTGTCGCTGTTTCTCAGCACGGGTGCCCTCCCACTGCACGGCCTGTGGGCGGGAACACGTCCACCCCTCTCCAGAGCCTTGCATGGGGCTGGCTCTCCCTGTGTGTTCAGCAAATGTTTGTTAGGCATCGTAACTCACGAATCATCAAGTGTAGAGATACAGTGAATGTCTGCTGATTGAGATTTTTTTTCTAGTCTGAGCTCCACAGTTTTCAAAGCATTGCAATTGCTTTCAATTTATGGTTAACTGGTAATAGTAATCTCTCATAAACTGGTTTTGGAGTTAACTGTTCTGACATTCAAATCACAGACATTTTCCTTTGTAACTAAGCCTCTCGCTAGTCAAGCTCTGGATCAGTGAATCAGGACACCTCAGGTTTGAGCGAACTTCGCAGTGCCACTGGTTCAAGCCCTCCCTGGTACAGATCAGAAGACAGAGACAGAGGGGCAATGTGGCGTGGACACATCACCCGGGAGCTCTGTGGCCACAGAGGTGGGACGTAGCAGAGCCGCGTGGCACACCCAACAGCACACCTACCGTATGTCTGGAGTTTTTCCATTAGGGTGTCTACATCAATGTGCAGCTGGACTTCTATAAACCTTCTTATAAATTTGTTTCTCAGGGCATTCTGAAGGAAAATAACAAATAATTATATTGTTCTCCTTATTGAATAAAACTTAGTACCATTACATGGAGAAAAGACACCAAGGAATCTATTTGAAAGGAGTTCTAAAACATCCCAATAAATAATGAGATGATGCAATTAGAAGTTTACCTTAAAGACAAAAGCAGCAGTTATGAAAATTTAGGTTATAACTGAAATTACACTGAAGCAGAAAGCAGAATGAATTAATTCACTTGTGACTTCTGAGCACAATTTTCTGCGACGCTAACTGTGATCCTTCACTTTATACAAGATCCTTTCCTTCCTTGACATGACCTCTGCCACCAGGGTCAGGTGTAGACGGGGGATCATTCTTGCTAAACCTCTGGAGAAGGGTCCCAGCACTGGCCACGCCCCTCAGGAAGCACGTGTCTGTTTCCTGCACCGCTCCTCTCCCACCTCGGTGCCTCTCACTTTGCAGCAGCTGTTAACGGCTTTACTGTGCAGAGGTCTCCAAAGCTGTTTTCTTCAACTTAATGAAATCTCACCCTTTTACATTTTGCAACAGGATGTGTGCCGCAGACACACAACAAGCAAAACAGGAAAAAGTGCCGATGCCTTGTGCGGCTCAACAGCAGGATCAGGACGTCAGGATTAATTCTGGAACCCCCTCTTCCTTAGAGACTGCTCTGCACACAGCCACCACAGAGCCTCAGGTCAGGAGAGGCCGGCTCACCTGCGCCTTCTCTCTCGAGCACTCTCGCGTCTAAGGATGAAACACTTGACCGTGACACCCTGGCGTTTGCTTTGTGGGGGAATCTGCTTGTCTCTCACCAGACGTTAGCTCTCTGCCAGTACAGGGTGCTTTAGGATGCACTGTGTCATCTGTCCCAGGAAACTCCCTCGGCTTTCACCACCAGGCAAGGCTGCTGCAGGCACGCAAAGGGGCTAACATTGCCATCTGGTGGCACAGTCGGGCCTTGCACACACGTGTCTACTGCTGTAAACCCAGACCACAGCTCTTACAGAACACGGCCCCAGTGCTGAGAAGTAAAGAACACAGGGCATGTCTTCCTGTGGAAGTAAAGATGCAGGCAAACATAAGCTGTAAATATGACGGCAGTCCAGATGAAGCGTGCCCAGAAGGCGCTTCTGCAGACCAAGGGCCCGTCACGGTGACGAAGGGCACCGAGTGGCTTTCACTGATGACTTCATGACTTGTTACACGAGCAGGGCGGGCACCCCTCTGGGTCCCCTGGTGCTCAGCGAGTTCTGCACTGGGCACACCGTCACCTTATCAGAGCCTAAACCGGTCACCGTCTGGCCACACAAAGTCTGATCTCCGTATTGACAAGTTAGTAACCTGCGAGCAGGCAGAGCAAAGGCGACACCCACAATAACCAGCAAGGCACACAGCCATGGCCGCCTGAGAACAAGGGCCTCAGAGCCCAGCTCCAAGGAGCAGAAGGGACCGGGCCCCCACAGGGCTTGGACTGCATCTCAGCTTTCCTGGAGGCCGGCCTCCTCCAGCTGCTCCAGGCCACTGTCCACCACAGCCAGCCCGCTCCTCGGGGCTGCTGGGCTCTGTCTGGTAAGAGGCAACTCTGGCTGCATGAGCCCTCACAGCCTTGCCCAAGGTTCCTTCAGTCGCAGGCCCTACCATGGGGCGTCCCCCCAGCTCCCGCTCTCCCTCCTCCCTCAGGGTCAGCTGTGCATCACCACCTGACCACCTTGCCACCGGCCCTCCCAGGCTCCCTCTTCTGGTGCACTCACAGCTGCTTCTGTGAGAAAATTCTTGCCCATCTCACCCCCCTTGGCATCCTCATCTCACCAGACCCAAACCCCCCCACCCCCCAGTGGCCGTTCCTCTATGCCAAACCCAGCTCCAGGTGCCCGACACGTCCGACTACTGCCACCTCGGGACTACTATCATCTCCTCGTTCCACAGGCAAGAAACCCAAGACACAGGGACACGGAGTGGCCAGTGCAAGACCACACAGCTGGTGGGAGAGGGCTGGGCCTCACACTGGACCCACTGGCTCCGGAGTCCAAGCTCTGAACCTCGTCTAGTGGATCCGAAGTCAGCCAGGCAAGAATGCAGATGCAGGCACAAATTTCTCGTGCTACCAGGTTACAGGAGCTCAGAGCCACACAAAGCCAGGAGCTCCAGGTGACCTGCCTGAAATAGTTTCACAGCCAACGATCGTCACGCTCAGAAGAAATCGGAACACTCATTATATCAGTGTTTGTTCAACAACACAGAGTATTACAAAAAGATCACGGACCTGGGCGACGTCGTCGTGTAGCAGGTAAAGCCACTCCTGCAATGTCAGCATCCCATATGGGCGCTGGTTCATGTCTCGGCTGCTTCACTTCCAGTCCAGCTACCAGCTAATGGCCTGGATAAAGCAGAGGAAGAGGGCCCAAGTGCTTGGGCCCTGCACCCACATGGGAGACCAGGAGAAGCACCTGGCTCCAGCTTCGGATCAGCGCAGCGCACCAGCCGCAGCGGCCACTGAGGGGTGAATCAATGGAAAAGGAAGACCTTTCTCTCTGTCTCTCTCTCTCTCACTGTCTAACTCTGCCTGTCAAAAAAAAAAAAAAAAAAAACTAATAAAAAATGAATAAATGTTAAACATTAACCATTCTCACAATAATGCCATTTTTAAAAAGATTTATTTGAAAGTGAGAGAGACAGACACAAAGACAGAGAGATCTTCCATTTGCTGGTTCACTCCTCAAATGGCCACAATGGCTAGAGCTGAGCCAATCTGAAGCCAAGAGCCAGAAGCCTCCTCCAATTCTCCTACGTGGGTGCAGGGGTCCAAGTACCTGGGCCATCCTCTGCTGCTTTCCCAGGCACACCAGTACGGAGCTAGATTGGAAGTTGAACAGCTGGGACTAGAACCAGCACCCATATGTGAAGCCAACATCATAGGCAGTGGCTTAGCCTGCCATACCACAGCACTGGCATCAATAATACCATCTTTCAGGAGTAAAACCCTGAAAATTCATGAGATGTTTTTACACTATCCCAATTTTATGTCAATTTTACTAGTCCACCATGAAAACCACGCCAGACTCAGGTGTGTGGACCCAGACACAGCCCAGCAGGTGGCTCCCCCCACCCTCTTGGCGAAGGCAGTCACCACTCACCTGCAGCTGGCTGAACACCTGGCCACTCCCACTTCCCTGGAAAAGGCTGGACATCTTCAGCACCGTTTCCAATAGACCCTTCAGCTTGTCCACAAAATGAAAGGTATAATTCGCCTGCAAAAAGAAGCATGCTTGGGTCAGCCTCTTACGCCGCCATATTAGGATCAGCCCCATCCATCACAGTGTGCTCGCCCAAGCAAGGATCTCTCATTGCCACCGCAGGCTGGCTGACCCCTCACCCATCAGCGTGAAAGACCCTAGCACATCCTCCCTGTGATCTGGAGACCCTTCCCCTTGGCTCCTCCCATCCAGGACCAGCTCGTGTGCTCACCGCGGTATCAGCTCACCATGTTGGGCTCAGGTTCAGTAGAGGGCAGAGCCCTAGCACATGCGATCAAATACAACAGTGGTCACCAACACCTCCTCAGAAATGTGTTTTCAACCAAGACCCACGTGTTTTGTTTTATGGAACCCAACACTAGCGAGGAGAGAGTAAAATTGGTGTCTTTATTCATCTACCGCTGCTGGCAGAGTACATTGGCATAAAATGTAGAAAATCATAAAAATATTCAGTCACATGCTATTTTCTCTCAAGATAAAAAGACTATATCCTGGGGATACAGTTTAAATGAAACACAAAGTTCTACCGTGGAGACGTCTATTGCAATGTTGTTCTGTTTCGTGCTGGGAATGGTCTCCGAGCTGAGGAGGAGGTGGAGGAGGGTTTCGGGGTCCAATCACATCTTTCCACGGTCACGGGAGACCCTCCTGGTGGCACAGGCGCTAACAGCGGCCAGCACAGCCGAGAGAGGAAAACCTTAAGCCCTCAACTTCCAACTCCAAAATAACATGGGTGGGGTTGCCACAGGCATGAAGACACATTAACATCCCAAAGTCTGGGGAGCAGCCTCGGCACAGGATAAAGGCGCAGTAAATGCCAGCTGTGCAGGCCAAAAAAGCATGCAGACGTGCAGAAGGTGAGGGGCATTAACACGGCCGATCTAGAGGTCTATAAAAGATTTTAAACCTGCAATAGAGACCATGCACATACATGTCTGTGCTTATATGTAAACCACAGGCCTATATAGCCAGTTATTATAAGTTAAATTCCCCTAATTTATCTCATAAATACACTCCCTTTTCAAATGCCCAAGAAATGTTTACAATATGCTAGAGTACAACAAAACCTGAAAGTATATAAATTTAAAGATGTGTTATGAATTTATAAGTTTAACAGAAGTTTGTGAAAACTTTATATTTAAAAAAATATATTTATTTAAAAGAATTACTGAGAGACAGCAGAGAAACAAAGAGAGAAGAGAGATCTTCCATCTGCTGGTTCACTCCCCAAATGGCTATAACAGCCAGGACTAGGCCAGGATCTTCATGCAGGTCTCCCACATGGGTGGCAGGGGCCCAACCACTTGGGCCATCCTCTGCTACCTTTCCCAGGCCATAGCTGCAGGGAGCTAGATAGGAAGTGGAACAGCTGAGACGAGAACCAGCACCCATAAGGGATGCTGGCATCACAGGCAGTGGTTTTACCCACTACACAAGTCCTGCTCCATGTAGACATTTTTGAAGTTAACAAATTGAAACCATAAAACTTTATCAAAAATATGAATAAACTTTAGGAATTTATTCAGGAAATGATTTTACAGAAAATAATATTAGCCATCATTCAATACAAGCTAATTCAGACTCAAAGCTGTTTTTATTGCATTAAAAAATAAAGTTAATTAAATAAGAATTCATTGACTATATCAATAAACTACTAATGCAGAAAACCTAAGGAAAGCAATAGAATAAATAAATTTAGGGGCCAGTGCTGTGGCATAGCCATTAAAGCTGCCACCTGCAGTGCCGGCATCCCATATGGGTGCCAGTTCAAGTCCTGGTTGCTCCACTTCCTGTAGCTCCCTGCTATGGTCTGTGAAGCCAGTGGAAGATAGCCCCTGCACCCACATGGGAGACCCAGAAGAAGCTCCTGGCTTTGGATCGGCATGGCTCCAGCTGTTGCAGCCAAGTGTGGAGTGAACCAGCGGATAGAAGACCTCTCTCTCCCTTCCTCTCCCACCCTCTCCCTCCTCCTACCTCTTCCCCTCTCCCTCCCTTTCTCTGCCTCTCCTTCTCTCTGTGTGTAACTCTTTCAAATAAATAAATAAATCTTAAAAAAAATACAACTGATTTGGAGAAGAAATACATGAGCTATTTCTCTAAACAAATATGCAAATCTCTGAAAGTCTACTTTTAACTTATTTGATCTTCACTAAAATATTAGGATATATATATAAATATTTATCACTGAATAACTTAATTGTATAATATTAACTAATGTTCTTCACAAATAATTTAAAACATTAACACTTAAAATAATTTAATGCCGGCGCCGCGGCTCACTAGGCTAATCCTCCACCTAGCGGCGCCGGCACCCCGAGTTCTAGTCCCAGTCGGGGCGCCGGATTCTGTCCTGGTTGCCCCTCTTCCAGGCCAGCTCTCTGCTGTGGCCAGGGAGTGCAGTGGAGGATGGCCCAAGTGCTTGGGCCCTGCACCCCATGGAAGACCAGAAGAAGCACCTGGCTCCTGGCTTCGGATCAGTGCGGTACACCAGCCACAGCGCACCAACCGCAGCGGCCATTGGAGGGTGAACCAACAGCAAAGGAAGACCTTTCTCTCTCTCTCTCTCTCTCTCTCTCTCTCACTGTCCACTCTGCCTGTCAAAAAAATAAAATAAAATAATTTAACAACCTTAGAAAACTAAGTGACTAAATGTGAAAAAGCCCTGAGGACAATTTTTAATTAAATAAATACTATCTCTGTTATCCTAGATGTTAAAGTCTCTGTGCAATGTACTTTTCAAAGAAAAAATTATCAGTCATCTGCAGCAGGTTTACACACACACACACACACACACACACAAAGACGCGGTCTGGAAATGGACGGACTCTGATGAAACAGGACTGAGAGCAGAAGCTTCAAGCACTGCCTGCCTTGGGGAGAAGCCATTACTTGGGGGCAGAGTGTCCAGCTCCAGTTCTCAGGAAGCAGACAACCAGAGCCTGCAGCTTCCCACACACCCAGTGAGGCAGGGTCAAAGGGCAACAACGTTATGCCAGAAGGACCTGGAGAAGGGCTTTTGCAGACAAAACACCGTTTCTCCCTGCTTCCACCCTGTTAAGTACCCCACTGCACCCTGGACACGACACAAGGGCCAGCAGAGAGAACTAGGAGCAGGGAGGGGGAGGGAAAGTGGTCAGGGCCCCAGGGCAGGAGGGAGAACACAGCCAAACGGAGTCTACAACCTCCGCTCCACGGAGACCGACTCGGACGCTCATCTCCCAGCCACAACCCAGCAATCAAAGGCCGCCTACATGGGCTCACTCCTCCGCGGACAGAGCAGGAGCCCTGCTGACAGCAGCAGCCCACACCAACAAGGGATGGGACCCATGCTGATAACAGGCGGACAGGAGGTGGCTCTCCTTCCCCCAGGGTGCACCAGCACAGGAGCTGCTACACGAGAAGCATCAGCCCAGACACGCAGTAGCTCACAGACAGCAGCAAGGAAGATTCTCCTGCACGTGGCCCTGCCTGGAGACACGACCTCCCCCCACAGCGAGAGGGGCCCCAACATGACAGAGGCCGGGCCTGCCATGTCCTCTCCTCCTCTGATGGCCCAAGGCGCCAGGACCGCATCTGGAAGCTGAGCCTGGAGAAACTGTTCCCTTTGAGGCAGGAGGAGCCCAGGCAGTACCAGGTAAACACAGTAACTACAGAGCTGTGATAACCAGCACGTCGCTAGAGCCACAGCCCACAAAGTAGGCCAGCACCTGCATGTGAAACCTAAGCAGGATAGTACCTGGCAAACTGAAAGGTTTTAACATAGCGCCTGGAATCTTATAACACAACAGGCAAAATGCCAAGGGCACAAGCAGAACTCACCCATGATGCAAGAGCTAGAGGAAACGCAACCCAACTAAAAACATGCAATCGGTGCGTTGAAATCAGATGTTGCAATGAACTGGACAGTAAAGCAACCGCTATAAAAATTCATCCGTAGCTATTAGAATTTGCCTTGAAAATTAACTAGCAGAAAATATTAAGAAAAAGATTTTTAGAAAAAAATAAAATTATCATATAGAATTGACACGCACAGTAACCAAAAGCACTCACTGATGGTCTCGGCAGAAGGGAGATGAGGGGGGACAGAGTCAGCGAACCTGATCAATAGTTTACCCAATCTGAGCAAGAACAACAACTCGGATGACTTCACAAAGTGACCAGAGCCTCCGGGGCCTGCAGGACAACAATAAAAACTCAACATTGCTGTCAGCAGAGTCCCAGAAAGAGAGGAGACACAGGAGGGAACTGAAAGCATCAGAAGTAGTAATGACTGACATGGGTGGAATTCAAAATCCTACAGGCTCCAGCAGGGACACAAACTCCAGGGTGGAGAGAGAAAAGCTCACAGCAAGCCACACCGTGAGCTCTTGAGAACAGAAGACGGGAACCCTGGCTGCTGCCGGGAGAAACTGCCTGGAAAGTCAGGACTGCAGACTCAGAGGTCAGCAGGTCCGGCCTCTGAGGCCACGGCAGTCGGTAGGAAGAGGCCGGGGCTCTCAGGCTGCGGGAAGCATGGCCCCTTGGGAATTCTGCGTCCAGGGTCAGCATCGTCAGGAGTGACAGGACGATAAAGATATTCTTAATGAGGGAGCACTACACAGCAATGCAAGAATTTCTAAATATCATATGTTCTCCCTGATCGGTGACTACTAACTGAGCACCAAAGGGGAAACTTGTTGAAATGAAATGGACACTATG